CAAGAAAAAACACTCAGGGATGGGAGAGGAAAAGCAACCACTGAAAGCGCAGCCACACCCAGTCTCAAAGAACTTGAGAAATATAAAAGGGGATCAGAACAGAGAACCCAGAAATCTTTTGACTAAAGGCAGATTTGCTAAATCTACCTGTGAAGTATGCCATGTTGGGGCTCCCATGGCTCCAAGGCCAGGCAGGCAACAAGCCAGTGAGGCCTTATTAAGAAGGACCAAACAGCACTGCTCAGTTTGGGAGGACTGCATCATATATAGGAAGAGCTGTCTGCCAGAATACAGGCTGACTTCTTAGATAAATACTCAGGCTTGCTCTGTTGCAACTGTGCAAGCACCACCCAGATACCCCTTACGAAGCTACCAGCTGTCAAACGGTCCACAGTCCAAGGGGAAGCGGCTAGTCAAAGCGGCTGTCACCATTCAGATCCTAACACTATGGCAGCATTTGTTGAGTCTCCTCAAAGACAGGTTAGGACAAAGCCTCCTTTCTCCCCTTTCTTCTCCAGGATGAAACAGTATCAGAAGTCTCCTTGCCTGCATCTCGCTGGAACCATCTTCACAACTCCTGTATGGAGGAGCCGGTACGTGAGCAGCAGGCTCTGAAAGGCCAGGTCTCTGGATGCAGACGGGAAGCGCACAGGAGGTGCTAGGCAATACCACACGGATTTGCCACACACAGTGACTATCGGCAGCCCCGGTCTAACCACACTCCTGGCCACATCTGCTGCCGGGAAAAGCAGCTCTTGTTCAAAGAAGTCTAAAGAAGTCCAGCTGTTCTGCATCTCCACCCATTTGTTATCTACTCTGGGAAAAAGTGATTAAAAGACTTCTGAATTTTACTTGACTAAACATGAACTTTTGAAGTAGAAGAGAACGCTGCAGTTTACAACTTCTAAAAAGACTGCAATTAAGAAATTGCACTTTCTTAGTTAAGATGGGTTCCAATCCTGGCTTAGGAATGCAATTCTTGCAGCAGACCTGGACTATGGAAGGTTTTAATTTGAGGGGGTGCTCTTCATTGCCTTTATAGAACTAGTACTGTTTTGAACTGTAGGATTTGACACACATCTTGAGTAGATTACTGATTTTGTGCTTTGCAGTCCATTTCATGCTTTGCTAAGGGAACAAACATTGTTAGTAGAAATCCAGGAATAAAATAAAGAGAGACAAAACATGGAATGTAAAAAACACTGTTCTTGTGCATGCAATTAAAAGAAATTGAATACTACTGAATATTTTCTCCTTCTAGATAATGGTAATGAATAATAACTGAAACTGCAGCTATCAGAGCTGCTCTTGAGGAGTGTATGAACACCACAACAGGGTTAGGGAGAAGGCACTTCTCCCAGCCTCAGCTGTAGGCCTGCAGCTGGGCTTGCCCTGCCTATCAGAATTCAGAGACTTTCCCCCCAACCCAGCCAGGTTCTTTCAGCAACATTTCCATAAGTAACTGTTAGCAGAGTGCAGATCTCTTATACTTGCTATTCACTGATCAAATCAGTGAGCAGTAGCAAGGCAGTTGTCCAAAGTGATCCTACTTAAGTGACAAATGAATTGCTAAGGAAACATTAAAGAAATTGTGCAAGACCACTACGTGGGGAACGATGCTCAGGCTACGATTATTAGCTAATCTGAATTATGATAAGAGGCCAAGGACACCTCTCAGAATCAGGGTCTTAGTCCATTATCTAACTGCAGGAAACCATACGATTTCCTTCGAGTAGGGCAAGAGTAGGCCATACACAGCCCCACACTGAGCTCAAGGTTATGAGATGTTTTTTGATGCAAGCAGCATAGCTTCCCAGGAGTCTGAGAGATGTCTGGCAGATGTCCGGCACGTGTCAACTGGGGTCAGTGCTGCCTTAATTAAAAGGAACTACCTGGAGTACCCTCAGGACAGCCAGAGATGCTTTCAACACTTCCAAAGGACAAGAGTGAATGAACAAATCTGAGCTGATGAAAGCAACTGGGGTGAGGGAAGAAACAACAAGGTAGGGCTACGCATTCATTTAAGACTAAGATGTGGAGACATGGCCTTAAAAAGTGAGAAAAACACTATATCACTGAACAATATGTTAATTCAGATACCTTATTAGATGTTTCTGCTTCATTAGTGTGTCGTGAATTAAGATATGCTGCATATATGCAATTCCTATAACACTCATATTTTGCAAATAGAGTAGCTGTTATGTAGTTACAAACTGAATAAAATCACACAGATCTATTCCAAAAAGTAAAATTCTAAGCAGTTTGTACTCTTATTACATGTGCAGCAAGATATACATCTTCAATCTCCATTTTTCAAAAGCAGGCCAGGCAAGTAGTGATAATTTTCACACAGGAAGACTATTCAGCTTGCTTTAAGTCAGCCCGGCCATTTGTGCTTTGACTACCTGACCTTGACTTGAAATTCATATTCTCAGCTTGAGCCAGTACTTTTTGCAGCCCTCTAGTGCAAAACAGCTCTGCAGTAAACTAAGAGAAAAATTTTGGCCCTTCAACTTTGCCTTTCGATATCATCAGGATTCAAGTTTAAGTAACCTGGAAGCTTCTACAGATGTTTTTTTCTGATCAGCAATGCTTATAATTAACACTGGATACCAAACATAATGAGTGAATTGGAGTTGCATCCCACTACAATGACAGTTACAAAAGAAATGACCAATTTTATTGTTTCTTTCAAGTAACAAGCTCCAGGTTTCTGAACATTTAAAATGTTGCCCTAGTCTTTCAGACACTGATGGTAGCAAGGGCAAAGCAGTGCTGAGAAATTTCATAAAGAAAACATTTCCAAAACATCTGAGAACATCATGAATCTGCAACATTTAAAGAGAACGTACATCTCTAGGAATCCAAAAGTCAAGGGAAAGTCAAGGCACTACTGGATATCAAGATCGAGCTGTGACTGTACTCCAAGTATTTCTTCCCCTCTTCATATGAGCTTTGCTTGAAAGAAATAAGGGGAAACCAGACTAGAACCTGTCCCATACTGTGAGTCTACCTGCCCAAAGTAATGACAATTGGTTCCTACTTGAGTGAGGTCCTCCCTACACAGAATCCACCTTAAAAATCAAGAATCCAAGCAAACTAAAAATTTCCAGGGCCATTTCTGTGTATGGCAGAGGAATAACATCTTGCAAACAGTTTATACCATATTCAGGTCAACTGAGATACACCATGGTGAATAACACGTTTTCTAATAAACCACCCAGGTATCTACACAGTGCGTTAAGTTTCAGTTTAGCAAATTCACCTGCATAGACACATTAGTTCCAGCTGCTCAGACTATGCATGAACATATACAAAATTCCAAAGAGGTATGAAAACCAAATCCCTGAAGTAACTGAGAGCCTTCTTTCTCTTGACTGTCTTTTTCTTAGCCTCAGTTCTGCCACACTGCACCATGCAGAAGGTGAGAAAGCTCCTCTGAAAGGCTGAGACTCTGCAATCCTGGACCTTGGTCCAGGCCTGTCACCACTAGAGCTATCTGCCAGGGATCCAGACCTTTGCACTCCTGATGGACATAAAGGCTAAAGCAAACTAACATTAGTTTAATACTGGGCAAAGAAACAAACAGGATTTTAATGCCCTTGGATATCTTGACTTTCCATTTTTCATCTGAAGCTTTACTGACATTTCTTTGCATTCAATTTTTTGTCTTCTTGCTATTAACATGAGCCCCTGACTACCTTCTCAACAAAGAGGCAACACATACTTCGCACATCATACACAGAAGCTCTCAAAGATAAGCAAGAAAAATATAGGTTACGCATTAAAACTGATCTTCATGCACAAGGGACCCACTTGAAAAGACTCACACTATCTGAACTTGCAATATAAATACCAGATTTTGCAGTGTCATGGCCAATTTTGCCTTTTTCTTCATGAGCAACATGCTCATACCTCTTCACGAGGGCTTTAAGTCAGCCCTGCAGCTAGCTGTGTTATTTTGCCTGTTTTAAGGGCATTAGTCCAGTAATAATATTTTATTATTGTATATGCTTAAAATATGTGTTTTAATACATGTTTTACAATGTTTTTCATTCACGCTTGGGCTCACACTTCATCTTCTACTTATAATCTTGAGCCCACAAAGTAAGCGTGCTTCACTTATTTTTACCTGTTTGTTTTCCTAAGCTTTACATTGAGATTGCTCACGTGCACTGCAGAGAAACAAATGCAGGATTTCGTTGACATCCTACCCATGAAAATTAGACCAAAAACAAACAAGACACAGGCTGGCAAGTATGCAACCTGCAATGAATACAGTCTTCCAAAATTTTCGGTTCACAAAGTGGCAAAAAGCTGCAATCCATCAGCCGACCTTATGCTTTCCAGGTTAGCAATTTGGCTGTGTCAATAACAAGCCTATGCTCTTAAGCCTGCTACATACCAAATGCTCTAGCTTTAGCTTCTAACTGGACATCCCAGTTTTGAAATGATATGTCTTGTATAAAGCCTACGTATTATCCTTGTGACCCCTCTCTTGCCTCCAAAACGTATTTTTTTTTTGCTGCTGCAAAATATAATTACCATGAGTATGAGCAGTTGTACTGAATCATCAAAATTATAAACTTGAGTTGAACATACATGTACTTGCTTACCATTTTGAAGAATCAAGACACAGTCTACAAGATTTCTCTTTTGATATTTCAAAAAATTTGCAATGCAAGTTTTAAAGTCACTTTTGCAAGGTATCATCTCAAAGACCAGGAAAATTTCAGAACATCTAAGCTTTGAGGTGATCTTTCTTTTTAATCTGGTATTTCAAATTTAGCATACATATATCTTTGCACATTTTGTGTATAAATGAGGCTCAGGAAAAACACATTCTCGGAATGTGCTTAACAAAAAAAATAGCTCCCTATTTATTTCCTTTCACTATCTCATCTTTAAGTCTATCTGCCTAGCAAATCGTTGCACAATCTTTTAAACGAGATGGTTTGCGAGTACCCACACATTTTGAAAAGCAAGCAGTAACAGTAAGAATTTAGAAATCAAGGTTGATCAGATGGAGCCCATGATCGGTGGGATAAAACTTAGAAACATAAAAGCCTTCACATTATTCATTTTAAAAGGAAATGAATGAAATTACAAAAGGAATACACACACTTGAGTGATCAAGGACATTGTTTAACATGCTAACAGCAGAAGACAAATATCCACACAGGAGTGCAACTGGTACAGCACGTTCCGGCTGCGAGCCCGGTTCAACCAGACAAGCACGTTCACAAAGCCACAGCTATTGGCGCTGCTAAGAAAGACTGTATCTTGCACTCACGCTCCACATTATAAGTCAAAAGCCAATCATTAGTGGAAATAGCAGCTGAAAGATGTTGGTGTGGCACGCACCTTCAGTATCATCACGCAATTGCTCCACCACATCTGTCAAATCCTCCCAAGAGTCTTTGCAAACAGCAAAAAGAAAGGAAAAGAAAGAAAATGTCATGCAAGCCATGATCAAAAGGAAAGGCTCAAAATCAAGGGGGAAGGAAAGGCTCAAAATCAAGGGGGAAGGAAAGGCTCAAAATCAAGGGGGAAGGAAAGGCTCAAAATCAAGGGGGATTTGTACAATACAAGACTCAATTCATATTGGCAAGAGATTTGCAAGTCAAAAGGGTGTATTAGTCTGAACAAAGCAATACAGCAAAGCGTCATTCCCTCTCCCCCCCCCCACCTTGGGAAACAAATTAAGGTAGGCTTAAGTAAAGCTTGAAAAGTTATTGGTTTTTCTGCATTAAGACAAGCAATATTTTTGTAAAGCACATCCTAAAAAGAGAAATGCATTATTTGATCTGTAAGATAAAAGCACTAAATGGTTGATACTTCAGCAATATCAGCATTTACTTCTGCTTCCTCCTACCCACGGAGGAACCCCAAAGTAACAGGGAAATACAGTTATCAGTGAAAAGCAAGCCCAGCCCTACAAGCACAGCATATTGCACACACACAAAGACATATTAACAACATAAACAAGGTTAAACAGAGCGCCAGTTCCATCAGGACCATCATTTCCAGGACAAACACCTAGGAAAAGTGACTCAGCTTAGCCTGGATGGGGATCACAGGACTTAGGTCGTTATTCCAACAGCAGGTGATTAAGGCCTAGCCCTCTTGCTACCTGCCGGGTGACTGCAGATGGCTGGTGGGCAGAAGGGAGGAGGCAGATATCCTTGGAGAGCAGTGGGCAGGACAGAAAACTCCTTTCAGCACACCCAGCAACTCCCTGGTTTCAAATCCATGAAGCAAGGCCTGACAAAGCCCCGGAGAGCCCGACCCCTGCATGATTTTCGGCTCCCTGCTTACATGCCTGCTCTCCCCAGCACTAACTTGCCATCTGCTCTGTGGCTGTAACACAAGGGCTCTATTCCCTTTCCAGCCAAAGGCGGCAAAGTACAGAGCAAAGTACACAAACTAGTGGGACCTCCCTCCCCTCCCACGGAAAAAGCTACCGCCAGCCTCCTCCTCCATTGGGGCCAGGTTAACTCACAGCTAGCAGAGACGCGTTGCTTTCGACCCTTGGCAAGCGAGCCACACACAGCTCGCTAAGAAAGAGCAAACTCTGGCCACTTGCTGTATCATCTCCCTATACACAACCATCCTACCATCTTCTGAGTGAGAAATATTTGCCAGGATGGTGTGAATGGGGGACTAGGGAATATGTACAGATCAAAAGGAAGAGGCACACATTTTATTAGCACTTTATTCATCTTGAAACCTTTTTAGGCAAAGAATTCCTGTTTAAGACAAAACTGTTTAAACTTTGCATTCATTTCTTGGTGTATCCAAAAAGTTTGCATACGTTTAATTTCTTCTTTTACACTGTAGAGTCATTTTGCCCTACTTGTCTGGAATTTCCACCTAACAGGAACGCATGGGGAAACCTCTTAAAGACAAAAAAAGGAAGTAAAATTAGGACTTGAAAGTTTCCATACCCTTCATCATGATACCTGTAAGGCAAACCCAGCACTTTGAATCATTATGCAAAAATCTGAGATCCTTCGACTAATGCACATACAGTTTAGAAAACAGGATGATCAACACCTCATAAAATTCAATTGCCTCATTCCGACTGGATTCTCAAGAAGATTAGTAGCATGAAATTTAACATCACATTAAAGTAAATGCACCAAGTTCCTCTTTACAAAGGAACTGAAGTACTTACACTACTAACATACAAATCATGAAAATTCCATCCATTACTTCACAAAGAATTTAAGTAATTTTCTTCTTTATTGACACAAGATCAGAACAACCTCAAGAGCTTTAAATATAGGAGGTGGCCTAGCAGCAGCGTGGGATTCAGCTAGAACTCATTTACTGCATTTCACACTGGGGCAAGAAACCTTTTGCTGTCTCAGTAAGCTCACTCCAGTGTAGCAATGCAAGTTCAGAAACGCTTTTAGGAGGAAAAATAAAATAAAAAAGAAACACATGCTTTCAAAAACAGTGTTATATAGGGTTTCCTCCAGAGATTTTATCCTTTTTTAATGATTTAAAAAAAAAGAATAAATTTTAATAAGCAGAAGCTTACAAAGCGGTGATGATTGATTGTGAACCATTACATGTACTTTGAAAAAAATCCTTCCTCTCTGAACTTATCTTCTTTAATTTGCTCCTACCTCAGTTCAGCCTCTGACACCGTGGGCATGACCATGCAAAAAACAGTATCGGATTCATGTGATGTGGATTTTCAACTGGCATCTCATGAGAGGAAACCAAAACAAGAGTTGCTAAGCACACAGCAGAAATATCCCAGACATATTTGAAAGCTAAAACAAACATTTTAAACCTATACAAGCATTAAATGCATCCCTTGAATAAGTGCTGAGCAAGTTCTTATACTCCTGACTACAAAACTACGCAAAACTTAGGTATTTCCTTCAAACCGCCTATGCAGAACATATTAAGAAATAATGTAGAGTGAAAATTATCCACTCACACCATGTTAGCCTATATTGGGACACAAATTTCAGACTCTCATAACGTGCATGAAGTAGAGTGACGGAACTAAGTTCCCTTACGCCCAAGTGACTCCCTAGTCCACCAGTTTGCTGTCCATGTCCTCTTAATTTTATGTACCCTGCAATGGGAAAAAACTAACATAGAAAATTGAAAAGTCTTATACTGCTGTGGGATTTATTTGTATGTAAATAAAAATGCACATAGCAAGGCACAGAATTCATACAAGTTTATAAAGGTTCCAAACGTAACATCAGAATCAAGGTTTTCCCGAAGTAGATTAAATAGGTCAGAATCTGTTCTTTTCTTTGGTTGGTTTTGTTTAAGTGTCTAAGTTTCTAGTAAGTTAAAGAGAATCTGAGAAGTCAGTGAAGTACCCAAAAAAAACCCAGCAACAGTTTTGGGAAGCAAAAGCAGAACCCAATACAGAAAATGCTCAGCAGCAGTGACATGTGAGCAATGTTTCTCTTTCTCCAGCTGCTGCAAAAGGCCGGTCTCAAAATCTACTTATGTTTGTATCAATGTTCACAGAAAACCTCACCATTGAAGATTCACAAGCAAAAAAACTGCAACAAGCTCAGATTTCCCATGCTCCATCCAAGATTCTACCTATGGAAAAAAGCAAAGCGGTTGTTTTTAAGCTCTGCACAGCCGTGGTTGAGTCATGTACTGAATACATCTAATACAGCAAAAAGCCAGTTGCAGGAAACAAAACTGGACTGCATTCAGGCTATGTTCATGCACTTCTATAAAATTCTCTCTTCTCCTGCCTGAGGATTTCAAGACAGACCTACGGAAGTGCTTACAGGTTTGTTGGAGAGGAATAATATATATCTGAACTAAGACGACAGTGAAATCGATTTAATCAAACCACAAACAAAAAACCTAGGGCAATGCAAGGGGGGCTCCTTCCTGATCTCTCTTGCTAAAGGCACACACTTTTCATTAATCTAAACCCCAACTGCACAAAGCCCTCCAGGCTCTCTTCCTTTTTCCTCCTAAGAAAGGAAGACCTCTGCTCAGTGCCTCACTAAACAGACCCAGCTCAAAGTGCCATGACTTACTCCAGCATTTTACAGATTCACTCAAAAGCACTAAAACCAGTATACGCACTTCCACAGAGCCCCTAACTATAGCCAGAATCTACAGTTTCACTGTCAGTTACGCCTCACTATGCCTGAAAGAAAATAAGTATCCTCCATGTTTTAGAGGGAAATGCTAATAAAAGAAATGCTGACATGTGCTCATTAAGTTAATTATAGTATTATTTTCTCATTTTAACTTTTAGTCTGCTGCCTAAGCGTCTACTGTTGTTTTGGGGCCAAAACATCCCACAATATAAGAGCAAGTTGGAAGACTTACTGAGAACTGAATAAACATAAATTAATTGCCTTTAAAAATAAATAAAGACTATCATATTCTCCTTGGCTGTACAGACACACAATACTTTTGCCATGAAAGAAAACCTAGTCACATTATCATGGTTATTTTAATTGTATTATCTGATATTTACTGCCTGAGGAATTTTAAATAATGTATGTACGCTATAAGGAATTATTAAAGTGGTAAAGAAAGGAAATTAAGTAGATGCAGTTAATATTATAACAGGTGTACAATGAGTAATTTTCTTTCCATATTTGATTTGCAAATAAGATGTCACAAAGTGCCAACGGAAAAAGAAAAGCTGTTTGGGAAGAAGGTGGAAGAACAGCCCCTGAAAAAAGCCCGGCAAGCACATTCTCCCCTGTAAGTCCTGCTGCATCAGCAAGCCCGCCGGGCCCAGCCCTGCTTCCCGAGCAGCTTGTTTGTGCTGATGTTCCTGACCTTGGTGCAGTCTGCTCCTCACAGATAACCTCTCATTTCATCCGTTTCCTCTTACTGTGCTACACAAGCAATCAGTCCCCACAGCACTATCCTGCACCAACATTGCTGTCTCAATCAGTGCAGCCTGCTTTACCTTCCTGACAGCAGACACAGCTTTTGTTTCAGTTTAATTTACGTATTAATCCTGACGCAACTGTTACACCTAAGCATTAGGTCAATAGGAAGGATACACCAAGCGCTATTAAGAGCACAAGCATACCTCATATTTTACTCCTCTTTCTACTAGTGACTTAATACACGTCCCTTAGCAAATCAACCGATTTGTTCCCCACCACTCTTCACTTGCAAACCCTCCCACTCCTCAACCCATCTACCCAGCATAAGCATCGGGAAACTTCAATTCAGAAGGGGTTGACAGGACCAGGAAAAACAACAATAGCTTCTTTTTAATCTCCAATCTTCAGCTAGACTTAACAAGCTTAGAAGAGGGGGAAAAAAAAAAATCTCAGTAGTAATTTCTTGAAAGAAAAATAAAGGCTGACAATTTAAAAAATAATAGTAAAGAACCCAATTTGAATAATCCTGACAACAGTCTCATCCTAGACATCTTTAAGGACTCTGTCTTAGCAACAAAAGCCACAGGGCTAGGCAACAAGGCCCTTCTATAGAGTACCCTCTCTCGACTGCTAAAAATTGACTTGAGAGCTTGCAGCTTAGTACTCATCTGTCCCAAGACATTTTTTAAAAACTTCATCTTCTCCCCACGTTAGTCCAGGGCCAAATATCCATCTTTTGTCTGTCCTTTACCCTCTTCAGCCCTTTCTTCCTGACTTGTGATGCAATTTGGTATAAACAACAATCTCTCCTCCCTCTCAGAGGGATCACACAGCCTTTATCATGTTACCTTTCAGCATATGCTATCCGCCTTACGCGACCTAACTACTAGTCGAGAGAATTAATTCCATCACCACACTGAGTTTCACACATTTTGCTTATCACTGGCTTCACAGATGGCCGATCTGGCATTCCGCACGCTTTTGCCCATTCCTTCCAACTTTTGACCTATTTAGGGATTTCTGCCACCATACGTGTTTTACAACAGATACTTTAAAGGAAGAGCCGCCTCTTGCAAGGCAGCATCTTGTTTCCATCAAGATGCTAAAGGTTCCTGCTATTCTTAAGTACAGTACTTACATTTTTCTTCCAATCCGAAAGCCCTTATTCCTGAAGCACTTCCAGCTCTCCTGGACAGCTTGCTTTCTCCATTTCATGTTACTAGAGGACACCGAAATCAAAGTAATTGTTATCGCAGTTCCTTCCCAGGGACATTTTGCTCTTCGCAGCCCCAGGGCAGGCTTGCCAGGGTGCAGGGATTAACAGAGCAGCCCAGTAAGGCACACAGGCCTTCATGGCATCCAATTCAGACGCAACTCAGTGGCTCTGTAGCTCCCTCATTGAGGCTTCAGTTTACCTTTCAGCGCAAATACTCAAATATCTTAAGTGATAGAGTAATTCCTGACAGTGCAAGTCTAGATGATACAGTTATCCTATGCATTGCTTGTGCTCTCATGTATAAGCCAATTTCACAAGCATTAAAGTTTGTTGCTGATATAAAGCTCCTTATAAAGAACCAGCATTTATCACCCCATAAAACCACCCAAGACCATTTCACGCATCCTAACTTCCAAAACAAAAATTTCAGGTCAGTGTTTAACCCCATATGTGCCTATGTACACTAGAAGGAGCAACAGAAAACACCATCATAAGGTTTCACAGAAACCCTAAGTTCTGCTCTTACTTACCCCAAGGAACTCTACAGCAAAGAATCAAATTACTCCAACTGGCACTGCTTCCTCTGAGATCCTACTCCTTCTCAAAGTATGGAGCCTTTGGTTTAAGCAGCTGCAGAGCTGGGCTCAGCTTCACCAAAGCTCACCACCACTGCAGCAAAGTACCTACTGCTTTAAATTTCAGTGGATAAAACTGCAATTATCACCATGTCCTAGTTCTCCTTAAATTACTAGCTCCGGTGCCACCTCTCTGCTTGGGGAGCCCTTGCAGCAACACTGCAAGCATATCTCTCAAAGGAGCAAGAGCTGAGGGACAACGACTAGAGGTTTCAAGACCTTATTTTCAAAGGTTGTTGGATTTGCAACTGCAAAATATCATTTTGTTTTTCACAAGTCTCTATTTTTAATAATAGCAGCCTTTCGCTTTGCCTTTGGCAAAACTCTTGTTTTTTTCCTACATCAATTTTATAAACATGTTATAAACAGACGTTCCCACATCTCTAGCTTGTCCTTTCAAACGCTCGGCCTCTGTAAGGTCCATCGCGCTGCCCCCTGAAGCCCTGCATCCGCTGAGGCGGGGGGAGAAATGCTGGTGCTGCAACAGCGCTTCTAACACTATGGCTAAAGCTGTGACAGCATTTCCACTACAAACACTATTTCCTGCAATATTGCCTCTGTTATAAACACCACTTGACTCCAAAAAAACTACTCTTCTCTCTCCCAACAAGCAGCCTCCTTAAGCTATGAATGCATAAACAGCTCCATGAAGGCCACCACACTAGGATCTTTGAAATCATTTTTGACATATGCATTGACAGCTTTGGGGAAGAGTTCCTCTAGTATTAGCTCTTGAATTGTTTCCAGAGAGGCATGCAGGACTGCAGCCTGAGCACTATATTACACAAATGGGACACGTGTTCAACATACTGAAAAAAAAAGAAACTGGATTTATCCAAGCCCACTTTCCCCTACGAGTTTGTCCAGAGGGAGAAAGTAAACATGGAATTAAGAGACATGTGCAGTGAAACACAGATCTAGGTAACCCCCAAGCTGCAGACACATGGTTTTCTGGATTGTACTAAGAGAAGATCAAATGCTTATTTACTAACTGTAACGCAACCAGACAAAAAGCCAAAAGGCTAATATAAGACTTTATGAGACAGAGAAGTATCATTCTACATACACTGGCATCTACTGTACAAATTTAAAAAGACCAAGTTAAAAAGAAAGTAGGTCTGAGCAAGCATGCACCACACACACACAGAAAAAGGCATGGAAATAGGAAGCCAGCTGAATTACTGCACTCTTGGCTAACCTCACCCTAACTGCTCTGGTTCTGTGTTCTCAGCCTGCAGCATCTCTCCAAAACCCTGGGACATGTTTCAGAGGGAGCTCTAGCTTCAAAACCTCTTTCTCATCTCCCTTCGTACAACTAGACCTTGGGCAAGCAAATCCAAGCTCACCGTCTACTACCCCCAAAACTGCTGTCATTTTTTTTTTCCTCTCTCCCTCCTTCCACCTCATAATTTACTGACTTGAAAACTTAAATCCTTTCCCCCATAACAACATAATAAGGGTCAAACAAGACTGCTTGGCGGAGTCAACACTCATGTAGTTACCAGAAAAGGGCCCAGTGAAAAGGTGGAGTCCCCCCCCAGCAAGACTGGGCCTTGCTCAGCATTCAGCAAGAGACACTCAAGATTCCAGCAGCACTGGTGCTAGGAGACCAGGGCAGCACAAGCCACCATGCACAATTCCTGCAGGAATTCATTGCTCCTCCTCTTTCCCCTGCTTTCTTATTGGTAGGGTAACGCGTGGATGCCTGCTTATTTTTTAAATACTCACTAAGCTTTCAGTCCTCACTTCAGCTGACCTGCTAGAAGTAAGCTGTTTTCACCACCAGCCCAGACCATAAATCATTACCCAAAAACAGAGAAAGGTATGTTGCACCTCGGGGCTTCAGGCTTCCGAGCCATTACAAACAACGGCACGTTCAGCACAAGTGAGCTGCAAGACTCGTGATGGTGTTATCACAAGCGCATAATCACCGCGATCTTGTGAAAAACTACCCATCGACCACAGGCAGATGCAAGTCAGTATTCTACCAGGATGTTGCATTTGTAAAAGCTGACACTTCACCAATACAGCTATAAGCCACATTTTAAGTGTGATCTCGTGATTAAATGTATTAGCGAACACACATCATGGTATTTTCTTCCGGTAAGACGCAAACCTGATCTCTGCTATACATCTCAAAAACCACAACTATACACAGATCTGCCTCTCTGAAAAGGGTGGATTATTAAAGACACTTGCAACATATTCTATCTGAAGCACCAGTTTGGCTTTCGTAACATGTCATACAGCGTCCAGGTAGTCCGGATGGGACGAGAGCACCTCACCCCAGGGACATCCCCTCCCACACTGGTGCCAGGGTAGCCACAAAGCAGTGGCTGCAGGGACCCCGAGGCGGGGAATGTGACCGTACCTTCATGGGTAGGTTCTGGGTCGGGTGTCAGCGAGATGTCGTCCAGCTCGCGCAAGCAGAGCCATTCTCCATCCATGGACACTCGGAATTTGCAAAGATAGATGGTCTCCATGGCAGCCTGAGTGATCTTGTCTGTGGTGGGGGTTGGCATGTCGCTTTGAGGCGTCAGAGCAGACATGATGACTCAGCTGGTACAACAATAACAGAAAAACAACAACTAAAAAGAAAAGCTCGCTGAAGAAAATAAGTAATACCTTGCTGTTAAGGACAGATGTGCTCAGGATCGCATAGACTGCTCTAGCCTTTTCATATAGACAGCAAGGTAAAAACGCTGCCCCTTCGTGATTGCCTCTTCCTCCTTCCTTTTCACCACCTGCCGTTGTCTTCAGCTACGCTAAAGGCTATTGATCCTAGCTGACCACAGAAAACGTGGCTTCTGCATCGGAGCAGGAAAAAAAAAAATAAGATCATGGAAAAGATTAAAAAAAAAAAAAAAAAAAAAAAGGAAAAAGGAGAGGAAAAAAAAAAAAAAAAAAAGGTCTTCTGATGATGATTACCCAAGCAAAACCCAAGGCAGAAGGCAGCACAGGAGCCCTGGATCTGCTGAAAGCGAGCTGCTGGTCGCTCTCTGCCAGGGCAGCGAGTGCTAATAGGATTGGTTGTGCGCAGTAAGCAGGGTGTTGACCAAAATGGCTGACTAATGAACTGAACTGAAAATTCAGCTCATGTGATCGGCTGCTCCGCGCGTAGAGCGAGCAATTCCCAGGATGCTCCGGAGACGCTCCTGATGCAGGGACAGAGACCAGGCTCCCGGCTGCCGCAGCACCTTCTCATCAACCTCTGCTCAGCCCCTTGCGCGCAAGCGGCTCAGTGCTCATATTCCTCCTCACTCACCCCCATGCTACAAAGGAGCGCAGACCAGCGGCACCACGAACACAAAGAGACATTTGTATTCCCTTCATGTGCATGGATGGCGCTATATAGAGCGAGATCCCTGGTTTTCACAATAGATGCGCAAATTCCGATTTACGTTGCATTCACTGTAGCCCTTCTTCAGGCACTACGTTGAAACGAGGGCTTCCCACAAACAAAGACATTTCAGGATGGATTTATCCTCTCGAGGAAACAAAAAGGAAAAAAATATCTACAGATAATTTCAGCAATCTAAGATTTAGCTCTTTCAGGCAAGGCAAGAGGAGATGGAAGAACAAGGATGAAGAAATACATATAGAGCACTAAAGATAATTTTACTCTTTAAAACCTCTTTGGAAAATTGGTGTTGCTCAAATGAGGCTCATTAAAAAATACCACCCCTTGGCAGGTGAATAAATGACCTTTCAGGTTCTCAGGAACAAAGCAACAACGCCATGTGGTCCCACGCTTCCCCGCAGGGCGGCTCTCCTTGCGATCCCGATACTGCAGCCCCATGTCTAGGGAACATGGGACTGCCCTGCATCGTGCCCGGTCACCAGGCACCTTTCTGGTTAGCGGAGCCACTATTTAACCATGCCCTGGGACACCAGATTGCCAACCACATGAACAAAAATCACCTTGTTTTATTTCAGTGCAGCTCCACTATATCATGGACAGCAGCTCCTCTGATGTGCAGCATCCACCCAGGAGCATTTTCTGCCTTCCCCCTATCTAAATTCAGAAAATGCTGACTGCTCACCAAAAAAGTGTACAGATAGGAACATATGAATGATTAATGCACATGACCTTAAGTATCTCATGATTTTTTTTTCTCTACAGTAATATTTAAAAGTATGTGTATATACTCGTGAGCCCTATTAATACAGAAACCGATCACTTCAGCAAGCCAACAGAGAGCTTTTTGTGAAGCAGAAGCACATCCGTCGTGTCAAAATTGCATTAAGCTGGAAAAAAAGCAAACACTCGGAGTTCACAGATGTTTTTGTTAACCAGGCAAGAGGAAGCAGTTGCTTTGAGCAGACCTCCCGCATGCTGCCTAACACTTTGACTCAGCAACTTTTCTCCCCATTAGACTAAAATGGACCAAGAGCCATGCTGCATATTACTACAGTGACCCAAAGGAGAACTATTTCACAAACAAAAACAATTACTATTGTTCCTTTTCCCTAAAAGAGAAAATCAACCATGTTGACAGTACTTGACCTTGTGTCATGCTTATATAACCTTTCACTAACAACAACTTCTAGTTGGAACATTCAGTTTTTATATTATTTTTGAGTGTTCAGTGGAGGAGGCTTGTATATCAATAAACACAAGCAGCTAGAGGAAAACAGACATCACTTTTTAGGAGGAAAAAAAAAAAAAAAAACACCCTCCGAAATCGATTAAGCACCAGAAGAACGTAACCTAGAATCCAATGCAGCAATGCAGTTAATTATCAGTTTATATTTTTTCTTCAGGAAGAGTTACCAACACAAACAACATTAGGAGTAATGCTACAGCAGTTTTCCAAAAAAACAAACAAACAAAAAACAAACAAAGAAAACCACACACAGACTCAGGCCTGGCAAACAACCCACATGCACATAGCAGGATCACAACCGACATTTGTTGATAAACTACTGGTTCAACTTCAATTTTAGGCCATTTGTTGCTTCTCAGCATGAAGAAACACAAGAACTCAGGCTCTCCGTTTGAGGTCAGTTATATTTTCTGGCTCCTTTACACAAAGGTCCTACCGCAAATACCACATAGGAATGTTTAAATAAATAAAACACTGTACTTCAAAATACTACTCAGCTCTAACAAATTTCAGTTCACAGCTATGTTTTGTTCAAACCTAAGGTTTGGAGACTATACTTAGATTTTAAGCAACTGCCAGTTTAAAATGCATTTTAAACGACAGACCTACTTCACCTTTTAATATAAACTATGCCTTTCACCATTCTAATACCCTTGATAAATACATAAATAAATCAACTATCCACATAGTGAAAGTTTTTAATTTATTTTGGGAGATTTTTTTTTCCAAAGCATTGGTATGAGTATTTTAAGACATTAACAACCAATGAACCAAACAAACAACCAACCAAAGTGGCCAATGAACATGATATTCTCCAAGATGCAGTACAATATTCAACATACACCCACCAAATTAAAAAAAAAAAAAAAAAGACTTAAAAAAGCTTCTCTTGAAAATTCAGACTTTAAGGACACGAGCTTTGTATAAGCACCCAGGAAACAGAAGACAGAAGGGTTCCACCATGCTGCCCCAAAAGGACTCTATATCTCAAAGACAAAAAGTATCAAAACGACCAAGATTTGTATAAAAATACCATAGGCTTTTGATAGAAATATCATGCAACTCCACGGCAAGAGACAAAGCTCTGTCAGACCTCAGGAACTGGCAAAAAATCAGAAGAGAGAGTGCAGCAGTAAATAAGGGGAGGTTATTTATGAAGAATATTACTTTGTAAACCCCAAGTCAGGCAGACCTTTGAATGGTCTTAGAAAATCCTTACATGAACCCCCTTTTTGGAAAAGCAGGATATCGCGATTTTAGCTAAAGTATAAAACAGCATCATTTACAAAAATATTTTCAAAAGAAAAGGAACAGTCAATTGTTTGAATTTTAAGGCTTAAATATCTGAAAGCAATCCATTCCATCAGTCATTCATACCCCAAAACTAAAAGTATTTTCAAAAGCTGAGTAAATTAGAATAATCTAAATGGTAAAAGAAATAAACCAGCCCCCACAGCACCCTTTGGTCTCCACGGGTGAATTTACATTACTTAAAAGGCAGCTTTGGGCAGTTTTACCTCCAGTGCCAGCAAACCCAGCCTGCAACCAGACTGAGTTGCAGTGGTTGCAAAAGCATCTTCCCCTCACGCTGTGTAGAGGAGCCACAGAGGAGAGGGGTGAAGTCAGCAGGCAGGCTGATTGCTTCAGGTGACAGTGCTACTTCAGGTATTTGAAGTCACAGGAGACCACAGAGCCACAGAAGCAGCCACCACCTCTGTGTCAACAGCGACAACTGCTGAAGGAACCCAGATAGCAGTGACAGCTCCTGCGCACTGATGAGCTCTAGAACCACTCCGATGGCCTCAGAGAGGCACACGGGCCACAGGTAACTTTTGTGAGCAACATAAAAATTGTGAATATTGCCATGCAGGACCAGCATGAATCACAAGCAGGATCTTGCAAGCTCTCCTGAAGCACATAACCCATTCATGGTTGCTGTGAGAGCTTAGATGGCCTGGCCATCTGACCCAATAAAGCAGCTCCCACATTTCTAAGTGAAACAAAGGCCATCTTCCCATTTCCCACACATGCCCTTGCCTGACATGTGAAAACCTCTTACCAACAGGGCTTTGAACATGATTGCCATTCCAGTGCTCATCTCTTCTCTATCACCCTTTAGCTTTACTGCATTTGGAAAGATACAGCAAAACACTCCCCAGGAGGTTCAGCTCTCACTCAACACCCTGGCCAAGTACACCTTCCTGCTTTCAATAGCTACATCGGCTACCACAACTGGGACAAAAACAGCATCAGGCCTATGCCTGGGTCAAGAGCCAACGGAGCTGCCGTACACAAAATACTGACGTGCTATGTAGGGGCAGCTGTCTCTCCAAGCTGTCTTCACATGCAAGGCAATAGAAAAAGATAAAATTAGTAAAGAGATTGCCTCTTCCGACCCCCCGACAGCACAGAAACACACATGACTCAGGTAAGGTGGCACGCCTAACCCTGCTGCAAAAAATAGGCATGGCCAAAGTAAGAAATTAACACCCTCAAGAATGGCAAATCCATCTCTAAATTCCCTGACCAAGTAACAAACTTGTTTCTCTACCTACTGTAAAATACCAAGATGACTTCAGGATTCAAGAAGCTCTTACCTCTGAAAGTACAATTAGGTACAAAACATGGGTAAGAAAATGAAATATCATAATTTGATAAGCTTTCAGCGGGACAAGGGATAGTTTGGGTATTCTGGAGTCAGCATAATCAAGTTGCTTTTGTTTTTTGAAGTCTGCTAAGGATTTCCTGCAGCTTATCACGCTTAAGTAGATCTCACTGTGCCCACATCTTTCCGGCATGCGGACGTCACTGAGGTCTGCTCAGCAAAAGCTTTTCATGCCAGTGACACCTAACTCCTTGCCTCAGCAGCTCTTGCTTTACCTTGCATTGGGAATCATATTTCATCTCTCTCATCCTGTCAATAAGCAAACTTGAGTGACAGAGCAATATTAACCACAGAATATTGCAGGCCATTACAAGTCACTACGAAAATAAACCACTGTTTTAGGAGACCTATTCTTAGGATTTCGTCCTTTGTTGTCTTCAAT